CCGAAATGTAGGTATGTATCTATGCTGCGACGATGGCGACGTACAGATCTCGATGGAGGCACTGGCACTGGCACTGGCACTAATCTTGCCCCCTTTGTACACACGAATACGGACAGAGATGCAGACGCAGATGCAGATGCAGCTGCGGATACGCTTGGGGCTAGACTACGAGGTTTAGTTGTTGCTATTTATTTTTCCCTAGTTCCCTATTTTGGTTATATTTTCTATTTTTTATCTAGGGAAAAACTGCACTCGGCACTCCGGCTCAACAGGGCTACGACTGCACGGACTCGAAACAGAAACAGAACTGAACGCAGGCGGAAAATGCACTTGCCACTAGGGCAGGCAGACCGGGCAGGCCCGAGTCGCATTTATGTTGATGATGATGATGTGGAAACTCCTTCGTTCACACACAACGACGGTCGGAGAGAGAGTCCGCTCTCTCTCGCTCTCTCGGCAGTGTTTTGGTCACGCGCTCAGAAAAACCCGATGCAGTCGACGAACCTCCTTTGCCTGCCACCCTTTGCCGCTGCAACGAGTGGATTTGGGTTTATGTTTTGATTTCGCTGTGTACAAAGCGGCGTATGCGTGATACTACAAGGGGGTTGCCCACTGGCAGGGGGTCGGGGGTTTCGTGCTCATTCTGGGATTTTCCCTTTTCGCGCCTTATTGTCATTAGTTGGCGTTTGCCTCCGCTTTGGCCTCCAGCGTCTCTGCAGCTTTTTTTTTTTACTGAAGCGTGTCCCTGGATTGCAACGGCAGCGGCAACGGCGAAGGACACAACATTGTTGCTGTCCTGCGGCCCTGCCAGAGCCTGCCTGCAGCACTGTGGGAGGGCAAGAGATAGAGCGAGAGAGAGCCAGAGAGAGTCTGTGTGTGGCTGTGTATCCGTGAATGGGGGCCTGGGTTTGGGTGCACAATTTTAATGCGCAATAATTCATTGGATGTAGATGAGGCTGGATGGGGGTGGGACGGGGTGGCAGTACTGTGAGCTGTGGGAAGGCTGCGTGTTTGCAAATTGTTAGCCAAATCAGTTGAGTTTCGGCACATTTAGCGCCTTCATGGGGATTTAATAATGACTAATTGATACAGCAGCTAACACGCTTGGAAAAAGGACTTGGAAAAAGAGTTGATATTGTATGTATCATCTGTAGAATAATTAAGATGTTAACTGCTTCCCGGGGTCCTCTTTTGCAGCAACAATCCCTTAATCAAGTTGCATAATCCGAGAGTCCAAGAGTCCCCTCTCCGTCTCTTCCAGCAAAAACACAATTCACTTTGTCCAGCTCTCAAATGTACTTCTACGCATTGGATAATCCCAGACCCTAGATGCAGTCATGAGGAGAACGCATCCACAGATTGAGTTCAGGGGTCCACAGTGGATGAAATGCAAAAACCGAATCCAAGCTCAAATTACCCACGGGGCCAAGCAGTGAAACAGGAAACGAATGTAGAGAGGGAGAGACTTGACTCTCATACGTGTAAGAGTATGCATATAGACAGACACTTCATTCAGTTGTATGCATTTGAGTCCTGTCTTTCCTGTCTGGCTGTTGGAGACACTTAAGCCTGCGGTGAGCGCCTGTCGTTTGTGCCACTTATTGAGAGCAATGGACAGGGACACAGGGAGACAGGGAGACAGGGCAGGGCATAAATCTTTTAGCACTTATTTGACACAGTTTCAGGCAGGAGCAAACACACACACAGAGACACAACTCACACACAGAGGAAAGTGGTCTGGGGACTGGGGGAATGGACGTCACATGCTCATCAATCGGTCGCTCACATTTGCTGCAACAATGCAAAGCGATGTCCATGCACCTTGAAGTGGTGGGGGTGCTCTGATAGAGGGTAGCAGAATGACAGACGGCAGAGGATGGTGTGCCAGGCTGTCAGGAGAGCTGGCAGACGATGACAGTTGACGATAAGCGGTCGAGTGGCTGAATCCTACTCGGAGAAGCCTGTCCCTCTTTCAGCCATGTTGTGACTGTTGTGACTGCCTACGGCTCGATGTTGGCCCAACAAAACGAATGCCGCACAATGGCAGAGGGAAAAAGGAAAACATAAAAGCGGAAAACTGCACAGAGAGAGAGAGAGAGAGAAAGAGAGAGCGTGAGAGGCAGGGCCTTCTTCTGTTGGCCTTATTTGACTTGTGCCTTGAATTGCCACAATTGTGGGATAGCCAAGCCCCCGGCACCCCTTCCTTTGTGGCTGCCACATATATGTGAAAGGCGGAACGAAGATATTACGCATACGCCCCAATAATTTCGTTGCATTTCGGTTCACTTCTCATTGCAGTTCTTCAAATATTCAGTTCCAATTTGCTGGCTAATGAGAATTCGTTAGAAATGCATTCGAATCAGCGATTATTCGGCCCACGCCATCCATGTCCATGTCCTTGTGCCACATAGAGGCAAAAGCAGTCAGCCTGCCTGTCTGACTGATGTCTCGTATCAAATTATCTATAAATTGCCAGTGCCCAGCACCAGCACGCCATCAATGGAGAAGGAGGAGCGTCGGGCCATCAGTTCGTGTTTCTGCTGATTGTTCATTTTACCCCCCGACTTGTGTCGTGTGTGAAGTTTCTTTTTATATTCGATTCCACACTGCCTATGTGCATAGGCATTACAGCAGACACACAAACAAACAAAAGCAAAAACACACACACAAAGAAAAAGGAAAACAGAGCCCAGAGAGGCCGGAGCTCTGCCTCCTGCCAAGTTCTGCCTTTTGCCCGAGATTTGATTTTAATTTTGAGGTCAGACAAAGGCAAGCACTCTGCTCCAGCGGCAGCGCCATGTGCTTGTGCCTCAAGTGTTGCATACATGAAAAAATGCAATAAATATTTAAATTACTATATCCACATGCAGCACGCAAATGGGAAAGGAATACTCCAGAGGCGTACCCAGGGAGCAGAGACTGGAGTGGAGTGGAGTGTGCACAGAGCAGACTCATCGCTGGAGAAACTAGGCTAAATGTGGATAGCACTATGAAATAATTAAGAGAAATGTTGCAGGGAAATGGAAATGGGTGTCGCAGTGTCTCAGTGTGGCAAAGAATTGGCAAGGGGAAATTATTCTAGATTCGCTTTGTTGGACAATTATTAAATTATAAATCTGTGGTAATGCTTTGCAGGAGGGAGATCTCGTACCTTTCCTTTGCAATACTTTGTTCGCCGACTTGGAGGCATAACACTTGGCTGTTTTCTTTATGGGTCCTTCAACGGATACCTTGAGTGCAGTGCTTAGGGCAGAAGATTAGTTGGTTCTTTGAGAGACTTTGAGGTACATCAAATTAGTCAGTCTTGGCTTACGCCTCTCTCTATGCCAAAGCTTAAATTGTTGAATTTGTTTGCATTTATTTAACATTTCAAGCTTTACGTTTTTGCACAACCATCGAGGTTCCAGCAACAACAGCAACCTAAGCAACATACCGCCTTAGTCGCAGCGAAAAGCAATCTTTGCTAACAACAACAAAGCAGCAGCAGAGCAGAAACAAAGTGAGCCACAACAACAGCAAAAGCAGCAACAACTCAATGGGCAACAGGGCAGACAACAATCGTGTCAAGTTCAACAAAAGCTTCACCCGCGGCTCCATTCAATCGCTTCGCTTCGGGCTTACAAGTTTTTACATATAAATTTCATGGCACGCACAGAAAACCGAAAACCGAAAAAACCTGTTAATGCGTTTGGCAAAAAAAAAAAAGAGAGACGGATACCAGCAACCACGACACAGTGCACCCACGCGAGCTTCGAAAGAAAAGGTGTAAAAGAGAGTCTTTGAAAGAGACAGACACCCTTGGGGAAAGAGCAAGCTTGAGTTCGGAAGAGCTTTGGGATTAAAGGGCTGAGCTTACTCTGGAATCGTAAGGGTATTTCTTTACGCTAACTGTAATCAAGGAGGAGTTGAGGAGCTATGGCCAAAATATTGATAGCAGTATCAGAACAGAACTCTTTGTCCCTTGGCAGTGACAGAAAAGGGACTAGTTGTGGCTTGAATAAATTCCTAATGACCTGCAGGATGAGTTGGTCGCATATCTCAGTCATATATCAAATGAAAACTCATGACAAATGGTCACCATTAATAACCGCATCCATATCCAAGGCCAAATCCATTCAATTGGATTAAGTGCATCATTAGACCCCTTCGATATCGGATAAGACCCTCTACTGTAGGAGGTACATTAGCATTGAGAAGCCATCTCCTGCTACCCATTCTGCCCAAATCGTCATGGTCATTCACTCTATTTCTCTGCAAAAGAGTGCGAATAAAATGGTCTAATAATGTGGAAAAATATGTAAAAAAAAACAAAAAAAAAACTTGCACTAATTTGCTAATGAGCCGCTCAACCATAATTTAACTGACATAAAAATATGTGTTAAAAAATATTACAAAAGCAAATAAAAAATAAAACTGACTTTTAAAAGCCATCAGCAAGCTCTCAGCAGCTCTCTCTCTCTCTCTCCCTATCTCTGTGTGTGTGTGTCGTCTCGCTCTTTGTCAGATCAGATCGCAGGGCTTTTGACCAAAAGAAAACCTACAACCTGCTGAAAGCCATAAGTCAAAGCATTGTCATCGCTGCGCTGTGGCTGCTGCCCCGGAGCTTGGCCTGAACTTTGCCAGTCGTTTGCGGTGGTTCCGAGCGGTGCGTTGAGCCAAACAAAAGATCTCTCGCCTCTATTCGTGTATAAAGAAATTTCCCAAGCGTGCTCGCAGCGCAAAATAACTCAATTAGAATGTACAGTGAAAATTTGTGTGCTTTTCCTTGATTCATTTCGCTTTCAGTCCGGAAGTTTCCCCCATTCAGCCACCCGCCACCAGTCGCGTGCTGGCATTAATTCAAATGTGCAGCTGATGGTATCGCTAGCCAAATACCCATCCCCCACCTTCCCCATTTAGACCCATACAATATCGTACGTGTGTGTGTGTCTCTGGTCTCTGGTCTGTGGTCTGTGGTCCGGTGTGCGCCGAGAATCCAATAAAAATGTACCACAATTAACAAAAAGTTGTCACTTGCTCGCCGATGCCCCAGTGCCGAGGACCATTCGTACCATCATCCAAAGTGTTTCTTGTGCGTTTATTGTGTGAATTTTGTGATGCGACCCAATTAGGCAGCCAGCAGCAGCAAGCGAAAAATTAACACAAATATTTTAATTATATCAGCTGATAGCAGAAAAAAGCTTTCACTGCACAACAGCCAAACCAGTTTTCATAATTTAAATATCGCACTCGTACCCAACCCACGAGAGACATAATAAGATATAGTAAAAGACGGCAGAAACCCAGCGACAGCGTCGCTTCGCCGTATTCGGCAACTTGTTTATTTCAAAATTATATATAACAAAAAAGAGGGAAAAAAAAAACCAGAAACGAGTATCTTATAAATAGTGCGCTTTGTTTCGGCATACAACAAAAACTAAACAGAAACAAAAACAAAAACAAAAACAAAATCATTGACAGCAAAACCTCAACACCAAAAACATTCCAACAACTGCAACAACGGGCGGCTCGCTCTGGCTCTCCCTTGACGTAGGTCAGGCCAAAGCTCTCCACAATCAAAAACAAAAGTTCCCTCCACATACAGCCGGCTTTTGAGGGAGCAGACACTCGAGAAGAGTCGAAGAGTCGAAGCGAGAGATTTATAGAGAGCGGTTTTTGTTTTTACTTAAGAGCGCACGCAGCGACCCATGGGTCTCTGATCTGATCTCCACAGATGCTTCAAACAACGACACCGAAAATGATTCACTGGTCTCTGATCGTCAGCGCCCTAGGCGTCTGCGTGGCGATCTTGGGCGGCTACTGCGGATGGTCTCTGTTTCCCAACATGGTCCACAAAAAGGTGGAGCAGGTGAGTCCAACCAAAGGGATACCAGACACCACTAGGCTCTAGGACAGATTTCCATTTGCTTACCTCACCTTTCATTAGAAACCATTATTAGCAAACTCTCTCGCTGGACAGCAAACAAGAGGAGCTCTTGTTGACTTTAAAGAGTAAATATTGAAGCCACACGCAGTGTACACAGAACAAGGGGATTGTGGACAGAGTAATCAGACTCGCATATTAGTCAGATTCGTGATGACTCAAAGAAAGTTCAGGGAACAGAATAATTAGCAACCGGCTTGATAATTCATTAAAGCTTATGTTAAAATTAAATTGCTATTCTAGGAGGAAACGGCAGTGCCATAGCATTGCCAACAACTGCCAACAATCCATTGCCATGACTGCTGTGGTCAATGTTTGATCCACTCCACCCATTATAATTACAGCTGATTACAAAATCGGATAGTTACGACAGAACCAGGCGACTGTCACGACAACCACACATTAATCTCCTTGTCCGTAATGACATCGGTCAGTGAATGACACAGCAGCAGCTGCAGCTGTTAGTCCCTCGCCCATTCCCTAACCCTAATCTACTGTCCCAAACGAGTGCAATTCAATCACATATGAAATAATTGCATGGATCTATTCCCTCTGGCCTGCCCGGGGTCACGCTTTAGCAGAATGCCGATGGCAAATGCAAATGCAAATGCAAATGCAATTCAAATGCAAGGCAACGCAGCAAGGCAATGAATTATTTCGTTAGTTAAATGCATTTCATAACCATTATTGCGCTAGCCGTGCCATTAGAGCCAAAACACTTTGTTCTTGTCCCTCACATTTTATTTATGACCATTTGACCATTTGGAGCCATTTGAAATGCGTGTCATTGGAGTGCTGAGGGGGACAACAGACGAACCCAATTCTCAGTCAAGTATTGTGCGATAAGATCTATCCCTTTTGTATGTGCACATAACTCCCGTGTGATGGTTGCCCTTCATTTGTGAGTCACGAACAAATGGAATACGTGACAAGATTTACTAGAGAGCCCTTTCATCTGCCGTGCCTCGTGTCGTGAGTAAAGATTCTCTCAGCATTCACTCACGATCCCATCTCTGGGCACACGCTCGGCGGGGCCGTATCAAGCGTGACATCTTCGCCGAACATTGTCAAGGGAAGGCAAGACGAAACCCGCAACCCAATCCAACCCAACCCAACTAGAAGTGCGACCACTTGAGTGGGTTGACTTTGAGCTCAAGTTTTGTGATTTATTTTTATTGCAATTAGAATGCAAACAGAAACTTAATCTTTTTCGCTGTTTGCTCCGTATTTTAATTGTTGGAGCCGCGTAAAGTTAATTGCCCTTTTTGTGGTTTCTGCTTTGGCTTTGGCCGTCGGCCGTCGGCCGTCATGTCACCCAAGGCGCAGGGACAGTGTTAAGCCCGAGATTGTTTAATGGGCAACCTCACCATTGTTAGCAATGAACTTCCGCGTGATTCTCGACCCTCAGATGCGATCTAGAATGGCCAGCACTTTGATTTTGATGGGCAGAAAACCCTCGAAGCCCAGCCGGATTGAGAGGGCCTTCAACTTGAAGGTGGGACATTGGAATGGCCTACGGGTCGCTCCCGTAAGCAAGAAAACCATAAGCCATAAGCCATTTCTATTTGTAATTCAAATGCAATCTCCAAAGACAAACAAAAACAGAAAAAAACAAACATACGAGTCATGAATCGAAATCGAAATTGAAATTGAAATTGAAATTCAAAGCAACTGAAGTGGGGATTCGATGGTCAACAAAATTTGGATGGATGATTGGTGTTGTGCAATTTGGCCCGAAAGCAATGCCAAACCATCGCAGCAGCTCTCTTCAAAGAGCTCTCTGTGCGGCTCCACGAACATTACGCATACGCCTCTTTGACCCAGCGCATTCTTAGACTTCGCGCAATTGAAATGTTGACCACGTTTCTCTTTGATTTGTCGCCATGCCAAAACTGCTCTATTTCGCAACAATTATTTGTGTGAATTTCTGAATGAATTTCAGGCCATTGTCAGTGGTCTATCTTCGGCAGCGGGGACCAACCAAGCAGCTCTTGAGGTTAATTCAACGTTTTGTATGCTCTTAGATACGTTGGTTTATTTATCTGTGCATATGTGTATGTGCATTGACCTTGAGATCTGCCTTAGTCAAACCCAACATATGGATGTACAGATACAGATACATTTACTTAAGCTATTTCTTCGACAATTCTTCAATTGTATCCAGTGCGAGGGGCCATAAAATTATACTGCTAGTCATGTTTCGAGCTTGTTTCTCTGCCTTATTTTGGCTTCATTTTATGTTTTGCCAATTGAAAATACTTCTTGCCTGCCGAGTTGTAAAAATTCCAAAAAATGGAAGGTCAATAAAACCTCAGTTTTCAGAGCATGAGAAATATGAGAAATTAAGTGAAATGCGAAATTAAAGCAAATACTTCACTTGGTTATTGGTGGTCATTGATCTCCCTTCAGCACTCATTGATAATGGAGAAGAAAACAATAGCGATAACGATAGAAATTGCATTGCCCCAATACCAAGAAACAGATTTTCTTGAGCCGAAAACTGGTTTGGACTCCGCTCCAAGGGGGTGGGGGGGTGATGGAAGCTGATGATTTTGATTTGATTTTTATGGCCACTACTGCGTCATTAGATGCCGTAAATAAGCGGCTACGAAGCGTGATAAACAACATTAAAATGTTGTTTAATAAATTTAAGTATAATTAAGCTAAGAGATGGAGGGGAAAAAGTGAATTAAATGTCAGATATATTGACAGCAAATTAACCAGAAATATTCAACATTTTTCGTTTCTCGTTTCTTCCATGCAACCCCCCAATAGAGTGTCATTTTAGCCGATGGCTCGGAACAATACAAACGCTTTGTGACTCTGCCGCAGCCTCTGAACTTCAAGGTCTACATATTCAATGTGACAAATCCCGACATGATACAACACGGTGCCATACCCATAGTCGAGGAAATCGGACCCTACGTTTACAAGTAAGAAACAATCTGTCCGCCATGGAGTGCATATCCAGTACAAATCGATCTTCAAAACCCACAGACAGTTCCGGCACAAGAAGGTGAAGCACTTCTCACGCGATGGCTCCAAGATCACCTACGTGCAGAATGTCCATTTCGACTTCGATGCGGATGCCTCAGCGCCGTACACACAGGACGATCGCATTGTGGCCCTCAATATGCACATGAATGTAAGTAGCAGAGAACAGAGTAACGAAGACTGGCAAGAAGTCAAACGAAATCATAGATAAATGAAAGAAATCTTGAAATGATGTACAAACACTTTTGATAATCAATTTGCAGGCATTTTTACAAGTGTTCGAAAGAGAAATCACAGATATCTTTCAGGGGTTCGCCAATAGGCTGAACTCCCGCCTGAATCGCACGCCCGGCGTGCGAGTCCTGAAACGTCTGATGGAACGTATTCGAGGGAAACGTAAAGTAATTTTATTCACTACTAATTTTATCGAGTGTAGCAGCAGGAAACCCCTGCCCAGCTGGTGATGGTCTAAATTAATTGGTCTGGGGGTTTGGTGTTATTTATTCCATTCAAACAACTGAACTGACTGAGTCCTGGACTAAAGTGTTTGGTCTGTGCAAACATTTACTCACATTTACTGGCATGCCTTGGACTCTGACTTGACTAATGGGTTAATGGGTTCTCCACTGATGGCGCAAATAAGCGATACAATCTCTTAACTTTGTTTGTCTTTGTTCTGCTTTTTAACTATAATTTTACCCCAGACGTACGTCACGCATATCGGATATCGGATATCGGATATCGGGTTGGGGAACTGTTTGCCGAGCGACAGCTTCTAGAAGTAATTAACTTGATGAGTGCTTTTATCGTTGATTTTGTGCGCCAACAGTTCTGGATGTGGGTTAGGTCAGGATCGAAAGAGGTTTATAAATATAAAATCTTTGCTGAATAAAGTCAGAGCTGTCAGAGTAAAAACTATGATACAAGCACTTAGACCCTTAGACCGACCCTTGAACACCACCCATACCCATTTCAACAGTTGTTAGGTGAGGAATGCAAATAAGAATGAATGAACCATCTAATGAAATGCAATTTTATAGCGCCATTTAGCTGGGTTCACGGCATCTTGATCAGCATTATTGAAGATGTGAAAGTAAGTTGAACAACATACTCCAAGCTCCTCCAGCCTCCTCCTCCGAAGCTTTGACACCTCAACATTAACTCAAACTTCAGACTTCAAACTCAAGATCATCCACATCAGACAGACAGAGAAATACAGACAGACAAATGGACATACAGATAGAACAGCTACATTTTGATTGGCATTCACCTTGTGGTGGATCGATCTGTGGCGTGTTGATATATGAACTCCCTCGTCTATGTAAATATTTTGATAAATGGCAGAGTTGATTTAAAATGCGTTGAGACTCAACGGAACAAAAACGGCAGCTGACAACCGAATGATTGGGGGGAAACATCAATTTTCACACAAACTCGTATGAATATAACATAATTAATAATAACAAATTTGAGCTTGTGCTTTGCTACCATAAGCTATCGAGCTGCCAGCGCCGCCTACTACCCCGCTAATGCTTTATGCCTGCCTGCCTTACTTTAGCTTCATCTTTAACCTTTAATCCCTAACCCGCCTCACCTTGCCGTGCACCGCCGTGCCGCCGTAACCATTACTTCCTCAATTAACTCCTTCCGAATGCGCACTCTCTTTTAGTCCGTTTTGCAAATCTCTGAGAACGATCCGGGCCTGGCGCTGCTACTGGTCCACCTGAATGCCAACCTCAAGGCGGTGTTCAACGATCCTCGGTCCATGTTCGTGCACACCTCCGCGAGGGAGTACCTGTTCGACGGAGTGCGCTTCTGCATCAATCCCCAGGGCATTGCCAAGGCCATCTGCAACCAGATCAAGGAGAGCGGTTCCAAAACCATACGAGAGCAGAGCGACGGCAGCCTTGCCTTCTCCTTTTTCGGGCATGTGAGTATCAGAGCATCGGACATCAGAGGAAACCAAGTCAGACCTTATATACCTTCTGCCTTCCCACATAGAAAAACGGCTCTGGTCACGACGTCTACGAGGTGCACACGGGCAAGGGCGATGTTATGAAGGTGCTGGAGATCCAGAAGCTCGATGATACGCACAATCTGCAGGTCTGGCTGAATGCCAGCACAGAGGGAGAGACCTCCGTCTGCAACCAGATAAACGGCACCGATGCCTCCGCCTATCCCCCGTTCCGGCAGCGCGGCGACTCCATGTACATCTTCAGTGCGGACATCTGCCGGTCTGTGCAGCTCTTCTACCAGACGGAAATCCAGTACGAGGGCATTCCCGGCTACCGCTACTCCATTGGCGAGAACTTCATCAACGACATCGGGCCGGAGCACGACAACGAGTGCTTCTGCGTCGACAAGCTGGCGAATGTGATCAAGCGGAAGAACGGCTGCCTCTACGCAGGCGCCCTGGATCTGACAACCTGTTTGGGTGAGTTGAGTGACAGTCGAGTCGCATGTCCATGCACAGTCCAATCATAATATATAGATTATTGGGAGGGCTGAGATTACATGCTGAATGACAGCATCTACGAAGATACCCAAAATCAGATATTCAGCTCTATGGTTTCCTCAAACGTGAACCCAAATCAGAGTTTATGGATTACATCCAATGGAAAACTCCGCTGTTGTTCGTATTTAATGCACAGAATTTCCAAAATATTTGTGTTTACGATTCAGTTATGTTATCTGTCGCTTATCTGTAGTTCCTCATATCATTTCACAGTCTAAGCTGAGTTTAAATTCCGATTTGAATGCGAGTAGAAGCCCATAAATTGTCTAGATCAAAGACCCTGCCTCATGGCAGCATTGGCAGCTTATATTTTTCGAAAATCTAAGTCTGATTTCATTTAATTAGCATTTTATTTATGTTGCTAGTTTACGCATTTGACAGTTTGTTTTGTCTTTTATTATGAACACTTAACTCAAATGCTAACGATTGAATCTCCCATCCATTCATATTCAATCTTAACCCACATTAATTGGAGCAATGCCGGCAGACTGCCAAATAGTCATTCCTAAAAATATCGACTGCAAGCTACTATAAACACCTTCGATGAACTTTAAGCGGTGCTTCATTACCATTTTCTTGTTTAGTTTGATTTGATTTTTTGTGATAAAACACGTACTAGCGTTTTCGCTAACCGGAAATATTTGGAATAATATTTGACAATTTGTTTGCCATTCATTGTTTTGTTGGTTTTGTTCATTTTGTTGTTATGCAAATGAGTCTGTTTATGGCCGTAGTATTGTGTGTTGTCTTATGGCGATTAACCGGCCATTCAGGCAGCACAGAGAACTCCCCCAAGGCACTCCAAGAGCCCATCTATCATCGAGTGGCTGTGGCTGTGGCTCTGGCTGTGACTGTGGCTGATACTGATGATGGTAGTGGTGATACGAGCAGATTACCCGAGTAATTATCAGGCGAGAAATACTAAATCAATTTAAAACAGTGTTCAACGAATGTACGACACCCGACGATTGATTTCGGAAGGGGAGATCCAGTTGTAGTTTGTGTTTTATGGGACTTCTATGCTAATGCGCTGAAGAGAAGTGCAAACCAAAGGCATCAACACTCGCAGCTCATCAAATTTAAATTATGCGCCTCGAAAACGTAAATAAAACACTGAATAAAAGGGAACATATCCATACAACCCCCCAAAACAGACAAATTGGAAGCGACTTTGTTTGGGACTTTGAATGTGAATCTCCGTCGCCATGGATGTGGAGATGGAAATGATCATTTTGTGTGGGCCGACTTCGTTCTTCGTTTGATCTTCTTCGATTGTTTAATTTCTTAATTAACACTCGAGTTGGAGAGGAGTAAGAAAAAAACGTTTTGCTTCACATTTGGAATCCAGTTCTGCCCCGAGGGGCATTGCGCAACTGAAATCAAAAGTGTTGTCTTAGCGTCTGACTTAATTCATCTATGGGCATGGGCATGGGGAGTTCATAAAAAAATACGTACATGCATAGCTAGTAATGAGCTCCACCTCATCATGAGGTTCTCGAGTGTCAGAGTGAACGAACGTTCGACAAATTTAAGCATTAAATTCTGATTGTATACCCATGGCAGGGCGAGTATTATGAACCAGACGAACAGACGTTGCCATTCGGGGAAATGTTTTTGATAAATCTATCATGGGAACAGTTTGTCCACAAGGGTATCCAGATCGTCGACTGCCCTTCTCGATCGCATTTGTTTTGTATCGGTTTTTGTTTGGGTGTTTGCCGCTCGGACACGTTTCCAGCTTGAGATTCTTTTGCTGATTCCTTCTTGGCTCGAGCTCATCTTTTTTTTATAATTGTCGAATCGTGAGTCAACAGTTTCAGTAATGAGCATTTGGAAAAACATAGTTCGTTGTCTGAAGAGGAAATTCTTGCAAATTGGTTCAGGCTTTGGCCCCAGTCCCAACTAAATAAATAAATAAATAAACAAAATGTTGTTCTGGCAAAACGTGAGACGAGTGCTGAGGACCAGAGCTTCCGCAACTCTCAAGATACTCTGTGAAATATTTGCAATTAATTTAATTGAATTAAATGTAAGTAGCTCGCAGCCGTAAAGGTCAGTCAATCCTGTTTTTTGTTTGGTTTTTTTTTTTAATTTTAAATTATTTTATCAATGTAAACAGAACAATTAATATTGGAAGCGAATTGGAATGCATTGACACCTCCAAAGGAGCGGGTTATGCAAATGAAGATGTTCGTTCCTCCTACATATTTCGTAAATGTATAGCTGTAATTATTTCTTTATAGATGCCCCTGTTATACTGACGCTGCCGCATATGCTGGGCGCCTCGAACGAGTACAGAAAAATGATACGCGGCCTCAAGCCAGATGCCAAAAAGCACCAGACCTTTGTCGATGTGCAGTCGGTAAGTCGATTGTCGCCATACACCCGTTAAGGACTCTCAATTTATTGGCATTCCATTAGCTTACGGGCACGCCCTTGCGCGGCGGCAAGCGGGTTCAGTTCAATATGTTCCTGAAGAGCATCAACCGAATAGGCATCACCGAGAACCTCACCACTGTCCTCATGCCGGCCATTTGGGTGGAAGAGGTAAGTGCCCCCGAAACAGAGGCCTAAAAACCAACTATAGATTAATGTCTCTCTCGCTATTGTGTGTGTCTGCAGGGCATCCAACTCAATGGGGAAATGGTGGCCTTCTTCAAGAAGAAACTAATCAACACTCTCAAAACGCTGAACATAGTCCACTGGGCGGCTCTCTGCGGAGGCGCGGGCGTGGCCCTCATCAGCCTACTCTACTTTCTCTACCAGAAGGGACGTGGCGTGGAGGCTCCCCTGAAGTAGAGATTATGCCTCCTGAAGGGGGAGGCGGAGACTTTAGATGTACTTGTTATTAAATGCTTCTAAAGATATGTATCCGTGTTATCCGTGCTACCTTTTGTCTACGAATTTGTATATAATTTATTTGTTAAATGTGATTCTATTGTATTGTGATTTAGCCTACTAAAACCCTACCATAAACTAAAACTAAACATGTTTTCGAATTGAAATGCGAAGACAATATTGAAGTTTCGATTGCATTCCCAGAAGTGACTCTTCTTTGTAATGGCCGGGCTGCTTCGTTCTTCCAAGTTCTTTCAAGGATGAGGCATTTGTGGTTAACCACAAAAAGCACTTTGCATATTTTGCATACTCATCCAACCTTGATCCAACCGCCTCTTCCCTTCAGCTGTGACACAAGTTCAAGATCAATTAATGGGGGAATTAAAAGTAAAAGTATTAATCAATCAGCAACAAACAGTCTTTGGCCCCACAATTTGCACAGACTGCCAATTAAAATACAGTTTATATTGCACAAAGTAGCTATCAAAAAAGGCAGCCGAACAAAAATAGGTTTCGACTTGGGCAAGACCAGAGACCATACAAAATGGCTAAAACTAAAGCCCCAGCCCAAGCCCAAGCCCGATTGACCAATTCCGAGATGCAAACAGAAATATTTCCCCCAAACTGTAGTTTAAACATCACTGTCCCAAGGCATTTTATTTGCCTTACAATGCGATTGAGATTGAGACACCCGAGACAGAGACCGAGACAGAGACAGAGACCGAGACGAGCTGGGATTGATACTGAGGCTGGGTGGGGTTTTGGCAATGCTGATTGATTGACAGCTGCGAGTCGCGACTGTCGATGGATTGATTGAGACTTGAGAGGCGATTAAAAACGCGTGAAAAACGCTTGCGACTGCTCAGTTGGATCGGTACGGCTGCCTCTCTGTCGATAAATATTTGATATTAATTTCATTAGCCAAATGACCAGTTAATGGCTGGATGGCTGGCTGGCTGGCTGGCTGGCTGGCTGTCTGGTTGGCTGGCTGGCTGGCTGGCTGGCTGTCTGCCTGGCTGTGTGACCGACTACAGAACTTTCTAACTATATTTGAGATGGTTCAGTGTTCGTATATTATTCATGCTGTTTCTGTTGCTCTTTCTTAGGTATATTCCATTCTTTTGGGGATTCTTTCTGTCGAAGAACCTTTCAAGCTCTGGTCAAAGTAATTATGCAATAGCTACACAGCCACACAACCAGTTTGTCGCTGTCGTCGTCAGAGAAGTCGTCGTCGTCATATTCAAATTGACTTTAGGCTGAAGATGCGACCGCTCGCTGTTTCAGTCGTCAACGAAACGCTCAAACGCACGCAGCAGCTTCAAGCTGAAAAAAAAAGACCTCACCCAAGCCAAAGCCTCGCTAAAAACCGAAGACGAAACGCGAGCGCGTTTAAAACCGCTTTGCGCTTAAAGTGAAATTTACAATTTAAATTAAGTAAGGATCGATCTCCTCTCCTCAGTTCGGTACATTTTGTGTAGACTCTGGCGCGTGGTGTTCTATATAAGAGTGAGGCTCGATCCAGAACGTTTGTCAGATCATCGCAAGATGTCGAAACAGTCGCTTCTGCCCCTTCTAGTGCCCCTCCTGCTGCTGCTCAGTGTCTGCTCCGTGGGGCGGGTGTCGGGCAAGATCTTCGATCGCTGCGAGCTGGCAAAGCAGCTGCAGCATCGGTTCGGACTACCCTCTGTCCAGGTGGCGACCCTGGTGTGCATTGCCCAGCACTCGAGTGACCTGAACACGGCTGCCTTGGGCGGCACCACTGGACCCGGAGGCGGCTCCCATGGTCTCTTCCAGATCAGCGACGTCTACTGGTGCTCCCCACCCGGACAGGGCGCGGGCTGTGGCCTGAGCTGCTCTCGCCTGCGGGACGACGACATTGCGGACGATGTCCAGTGCGTGCGGAAGATTTATACGGAGCACCAGAGGATCTCGGGCGATGGATTCTCCGCGTGGCAGGCCTATGGCGCCTACTGTCGCCAGGATCCAGCCTCCTATGTGGCAGGGTGTGGCGTGGGCGTCAGCAAAACAGCTCTCTCGGTTGCCGCCTCCTACCAGCACCCGCAGCAGGTGAAGCTCAACCACTACCAGGGATCACCACAGATAGCGGTGGCGGTGTCTCCCGTCCAGCGCGTCCAAGGGAAGATCTACAACCGCTGCGAGCTGGCCCAGGAGCTGTACTACCAGCATAAACTGCCAATGCCCCAGATCCCCACATGGGTGTGCATTGCCCAGCACGAGTCCTCCTTCAACACGGCTGCGGTGGGTCGACTCAATGCGGATGGGAGTGCGGATCACGGCCTGTTCCAGATCAGTGATCTCTTCTGGTGCACCCACGAACAGCGGGCTGGAAAGGGCTGCCATGCGACGTGCAACCAGTTCCTGGACTCCAGCATATCGGATGATGTGCAGTGCATTCGGAGGATCCATCAGGAGCACACCCAGATCTCCGGCGATGGCTTCAATGCCTGGACTGTCTACAAGAGGAACTGCCTGGATCAGCATTACGAGCAGGTGGCGGCCTGCTTCGCCAAGCCCCAGGTTATTGCCAGCCATCCAAATTCCATTGGGGCATCTGGATCCCCCGCGAAGTCCAAGGTCAGCTATGCATATCAATTCGCTCAGCAGAAGATCACTCCAGTGGCCAATCAATACCTTAAGCCAGCACCTGCCGTGCTCACCTACCAGCGCGTGGGCGTGAGCAGCTATCAGGGCAATCCCTTCTTGAGGCCGCAGCCAGCAGTGTCTCAGCCCCACCCCAATGCCATTGGCTTCGTTGGAAAGGGGGGCCAGAGAATGGCCAATCCCTTTTTCAGCCACAAGCAACCACCGCACACAGCACACTTCCAGCAGCAGTATCAGTATCTGCACAGCACACGACCTCTACACTCCAAACAGTCGACACAAAACACACCAGTAACCACATCCGCATACACATCTACATCCCGGAGGGGTACGGGCACGGGTAAAGTTTTCAAACGCTGCGAATTAGCCCAAGAGTTGTATTTCTCACACAAATTTCCCATGCAGGATATAGCCACCTGGGTGTGCATCGCCGAACATGAGTCCTCGCTCAGGACGTCGGCCGTGGGGCGCCTAAATACCGACGGCAGTGCCGATCATGGTCTCTTCCAGATCAGCGATCTCTACTGGTGCACCCACGGTGGGGCAGAAGCAGAAGGTGGAAAGGGCTGCCACATTAACTGCGATCGCCTGCTGGACTCTGACATATCGGACGATGTCAAGTGCATACGGACTATCCACGAGGAGCACACGAGAATATCAGGGGACGGCTTCACGGCCTGGACTGTCTACAATAGAAACTGCAGGCAGCGGACGAAAGCGGATATAGCCGGCTGCTTTGAGGCCACCGAACTGTCAAAGGAGCAGGCGCCTCCAGCTGGGGGAAACGAGATCGTAAGGAAAGCACATCCCCAGGTAGCCAAGGGAAAGATCTTCAAGCGATGCGAGCTGGCCCAAGAGCTGCACTACAAGCATAAGCTCCCCATGAAGGAGATTCCCACTTGGGTGTGCATCGCGGAGCACGAGTCCTCCTTCAACACAGCAGCCGTGGGTCGTCTGAATGCGGACGGAAGTGCCGATCACGGACTGTTCCAGATCAGCGATCTCTACTGGTGCACCCACGGTGAGGGAGGAGGCAAGGCCTGTCACATTGAATGCGATCGCCTGCTGGACTCTGACATCTCCGATGATGTGAAGTGTATTAGGACGATCCACGAGGAGCACACGCGGCTGTCGGGAGACGGATTCAATGCCTGGACCGTCTACAGCGGTCACTGCCGCCACCAGAGCTTGGCCATGTTGAGCGACTGTTTCGATGGCAATGAAATAGCGAAGCCGCAAAAGCCGGGTCCGTATGCAGAGCGGCCGCAGGTGAAGCCACAGCAGGTGGCTGAGAATCAGCCACAGCAAAAGATCGCTGCCAGTCATGGGTATGCGGGCAATCCGTTTCTGCAGAACCTACAGGCCGTGAAGACCACTCAGGGATCTAGTCAGCAGCTTGCCTTATTCAGCCAGCCCAAAGAGAAGCCTTCTCCATCCTCAGACTCAGGCAGTACGCCATCGAGAAAGCCAAATTACGATCACAATCCCTTTCTTAAGGCTCCTGGCTCTCCCCGTCCGTCTTCCACTTCTTTGCAGAGTTCTGTACACGTCAGACCCAATGATAATCTCCCCTATGCCCAAAACCCATTCCTCAGCCTACTGGCAAAGCCAATCGTGCCTGCTCGAGTGCCCGTGCCCTCGGTCAAGCCCTCAGTCTCAACGAAGTCTCCACAACATGTAACAAGGCCATATATCAGCAGCGACAGCTTCCGCCATGAAGTGATCAAATTTACGGCCACATCTTCAGCTACAACAACAACAACAACCACTAAGCGCCCCATAACAACAACCAAAACAACTAAGAGCCCCATAACAACAACAACAACAACAACCACTAAGCGCCCCATAACAACAACAACCAAAACAACTAAGAGCCCCATAACAACAACCACAAAAACAACTACTAAGAGCACTGCCAGAGCAACTGTGAGACCGACAAATTTCACTCCTTGGGCATGGCAAACTCCCACAAAAACATCGACAAAAGCGAAGCCCAAAACACGCCCACCGTCGACAACGAGAGCTACAACAGCTCGGTATACAATTTCAACGAAACCCACAACACGTGCAGCAACAAAACCTATTTCAGGCTATGTAGCAGTAACGAAACCAACAACTCGTTCCCCATCAACAACACGCCCAGCCACAACTCGTCGAACTACGCCTACCACCCGCCCATCAACAACAGCGAGACCTACCACCCGCGCATCAACAACAACGAGACCTGTAACGCTTTCTACAACTGTAACTAAACCATTAGTATTTACTCGTGCCACAACAAAAACAACCCGACCAGCTACAACAACTCGCAGTGTTCCCAGCACCCGCGCAACTGCCTCAACGAGATATACAAAGCGCAAAGAAACCACAACTCGTCCAACTACAACAACTCTTCCAACATTACCAATGCGATCCACAACTCGAAATGCAGCCATAACGAAACCCACCCAACGGCCTACAGCAAGATCAACCACTTCTTACTCAGCAACAGCCACACCTACAAATCGTCCCACGACAACAAGAACTCTCTCTAGCACAACCCCAAGGCCGTACCTTTTCACATCGACAACATCACCGAAGAGTTCCACCACTGCAGATCCCTTTGGCCATCCTTTCTTCCAGAAATTCAAGGCTAAGTTTGAAAAGGCTCCCGCTCCTGTTCTACAAACCAGAAAACCCACAACAACAGCACCTTTGCGTCAAAGCCCGAGCAGCACCAGCACCACCACCAGCAGTCCGTACTACGCCAAATATCAGGAGAACAAAGCCAAAGCGTCAGCCAAGACAAATTATTCATACAATTTTGGTCAGAATCGGACGACAACGAAGCGACCTGATGGTGCAACAACCAAAATGGCTTCGAGAGTGTCCCAATCAGCTTTCGACTTGTATCTAAATTGGAACAAAAACTAATGGGCTCCAAAGAGCTGGAGGAGCTATGGAGAAAAAGGGGCTATGGCATTTTTAAGACTTGTAAATACGCGTTATTGATGGATCTAAAACGGCTTGTTTAGCATAATGGCAGAATACTCATACATTATTAATCGTAAGAATTATAAATAGGATTTAGATAATAAAATAAAACAAAAATAAGCGACACGCGAACGCGAGTTCGAAATGTACGAAAATTAATTCAACTTTAGACAACTCGCCAAACGTCGTCGCCTAGTGCGACCCTGGCATTAGCTGGAACATTTTGATTTATTTTCATTGATCGAACTCGTTTTTGGCCGATTCTCTGCCTTGTTATCTGAACTGCTAAACGTAGCAACAACAAAATAGGATATTCTGAAGAGAAGCAGGTTCATGGATAGAATTGTAAGGGGATTACCTGTTTTGGGAGGATTATATGTCGTCGCTGAGAGCTCCAGCTCGAATCCAGCAGCATTTGTGACAAGCCGACATTCCAATTAAACTGTAAGTCCCGTTCTATAGCAAGCATGTCCAAGTAACGGAACTCGTAAGTTTGGAGTAGAAACACACATTCACGCGCGCAAATACCGGCACACACATGCATACATTCACATACCCCGAATAATAGCTGGCCGGCGATTGCTAAGATTCACTGCACTGATCTCACATATTAACTTAAAACAACGTCTGGCGACATTTCAATAAAACCAAGTTCCGTTCTTAATACTCGATACGCACGTTTACGCGCTAAAACCGGCACACACACATTCATATGGACATACGCATCGCGGCTGACCGCGACTGCCATAATTCACTGCGCGGATCTTACATATTTACTTAAAAGTGGGGCTGCATTGGATTGTATTTGTTCCTCGTGTAATCCTTAATGCAATTTTATTATGTTTTATTAGTTTAAGTAACAGATTTATCACACAAAATAAAACCGGCAGATTGCGATCAATCCTTGCGATCAAATTTACCGTTCAACTAGGGTTGTCAAGCCTACGATATATCATAATATATCGTGTTTTTTGCCAAGAAATTTTTATTTTTAATGTATTTTTAATATTTTACGTTTGGTCCCAATTACTTTAAAAATCAACGGAAAACGACACGTGCTCCGCAGAAGAATATGATTCAGAGTTTTCTGGAAAACCCCGAAGGAGCATTTTATGCACCAGTAGTGGTTTGTGTGAGTATTTTCATATTGTGAACAAGCCTGTGGTGTTTTGAACCAAAAAACCATTAACACCTACTCAAAGGGACTCAATATTTATAGCGATGCGATATAAAACCCAGAAAGAGAAAAGTATATCGCCGATATGTTATTTTATAAATACTTGACAGCCCTCTCATTTTAAAAATATACCGTAAATTTGGCGTAAATCTTAAATTATTTTCCTTGATTTTGATGTTCTATTTCATTTTACAAGCTAGGTAGGGTTCTTAGCGCTAAAACTACAGTTTTATCCGATTTATCAATGAATTCTGCACAGGATTGGTTTATTTTCATGACTTCCTTTTATTGGATTGTTTACCAATTAAGGTTAAAACTAAACATGGAATGTTATATAATTTGACTACTTGTAGCTTGTCAAGCGGTTTGAATTATTTTTCGGTATACTACGGTATATTTGTGAGGGTCGCACGGTATATTTTCTGAAAAGGTCCGCTATCACACTAGTCGTAAACAATATAACTCGGTTTTTTTCGGCTAAGAGCCAGAAAACACGGCGAATACATTGAAAATGCGCTGCAGTGCACAGAGTTTAAATGAAAAATGAATTGAAGTGAGTGCCTATCGTAAACAAGCGTCAAAGTGCGTTAAACGGCTGCAGGCTGTACAAAACGGTACACACACACAAACATAAGCACCACCTCCCAGCCACCTAATCCAGCTTACTAATACTTAATACTACTTGTATGGCAGCGATCGTTGAATTGCAATCTATCATCATGTGAAGATAATAAGAACCCATCCCATTCACGCATGTAAACTAAATTTGGTTTTAGTGCAAGTATTTGGATTCGTGGAGACAGCATCGGTGGAAATGTTTACATTGTAGCCCCATATGCTTGTTTACACTGCTGACTTTGCTGGGGCTGAAGTAATGTCCCTGATTGACTGCATCAGTGTATACCACACCATAAAATGCGTTAATGGCGTTAACCAGGCGGCTGAACAACTGCGATAACAAAACAATGTAAATTAAATATCTGATAATTAAGCAGTTCCGAAATTGTTAATCTTGTTAATTGAGCGCTGCCGGACTAATCAAATCAGCGCGTTGTTCAACACTGAAAATATTACCCGCCCAGCTTCTGGCAACGCCTCGCCACACGATTATTCTGCACGCGCATTCGTGAAAATGGCGGCGTTGTCGCACTACTGTCGCTGCCAAATTTTTTGTACATCAAAATAATCAAAATAAAGCGACACTCTTCCGTGCCCGACGCCAAAGGCAGACCGAGCGCGTGTGGTGTGTGAAAAATTGTTGATAAATCTTTCAGGCATCGACCCACCGCAGCGGAGGAGTCAGATAACAGGCGCGACCGTGAGAGAAGGAGAGCTCGCCAGCGCAGCAGCAGCCGCGTGAATAAGCGCTTGTCAGCGGAGCACCCGCGGCCGCTCTTAAGGCTTTTGGCCAAGGTGAATGCAATTATTATATGTGTGCGCGCGTGGCTTGCGTCTGTGTATGTGTTTGTGGGTGTGTGTGTGAATCTCCAGTGTCCGGCGTGATCTCTCTGGTCTTGCCACCAGGTGCTGGTTGTGGTTCTGGTAACGATACTGGTCGGATCTTGACATCTGCGTGTTTTATGACCGCCAGGTAACGGTGGCACAGGTAGCAAGCTGCAGCGGCAGACGCGTAAATTATCCCAAAATCAAGCGATCGCTTGGCCCTTCTATAAATACTAAAGTGCTTTCCATATTGCCTTGCAGTTCGCTTTTGAGCCACGCAGCATGCAACAGTCTGTGTCCGCGTCTTTGTTCCGAGTGAAAGACCTTTGCTGCAGCCACAAACACACGATGTCCGAAAGGAGTTGATCGAGAAATCCGGCGGCAACAGAACGTCTTCTGAAGCAGCATCTTTGCTAGAGGGACACTCGAAAAAGGGTCTTCGAACGCCTCCGCCACTCCACACCACGCCTCAACTCAAACACACACTCCGCTCCTAGTACTTCGCCTCAACCTCCAGCTCCACCTTCACCATGAATAGCCAAACAGCAGCCGGCAATCGAATCACGTTCACCAATCAATTGCCCAATGGAACCATTAATATAAGTGGCAATCCGGGCGGTGGTGGTGGTCCGACGATCATCTCAACTGCCCAGCTTCCAAACACAACAACCATCAAGACCATCACGGCCGGAATTGGCAGCCACCATCCGGGACTGACTCAGGTGCACCACCAACAGTCGCCCCACCAGCAGCAGCAGACGCAATCCGTAGGTGCCACCCAAACACAAACCCTAGTTATTAAATCCAATCACCATGCTGTCACCCTGCCGGCGGGTCTAGTATCAAGTGCACCAGCAGGAATCGTAACAATGACCAAGACCATCAATCAGGTATCCACATCAAGCTAAACAAACAAAGAGAAACAGAAAACAGGCGTAAGGCGAATGAGTCGTCCGATCCGGTTTATCTATCTATATCCCCCATATTCCCATTTTCACATCCATCCAAGTTTCTTCCCCGACTCCCGCCTTCACGATCGGAACCAATCGTAATGTAGTTCACACCCACACACACATACACACATTTAGGCGTATATATTTTGATGCATTCATTTCGCTTTCATCCTCCAATTCCACCAGGGACAGTGAACTCTGTTTCCCTTTCCTCCCAAATCCTCCCGATCCCAACCGACTCAATGCTTATTTTGATATAGTAAGAACTCATTCCATTTGTAGACCTTTTGCTTTGAACGCTCGCTTTGTATAGAACAACCTGTAGACAAACACACACGCCCCCGAAAATTCCCAAAAAATTGGTCTGCACAACAAAATTACATTTTCCTCTTTGTGATCTGCGATCTTGAATCCGTGAAGGAGCAAGCCCATCATAGGAGCTCTGAACGGGTTGCATGCTGTAGGCAATCTGCAATCTTTCAATCCTCCCCCTCTAAACGCTTCAGCCCCTCTGTCGTAGAACTTGAGCTCAATCTTGGCAATTCTCAAAGAATAATACTAATGATATTGTGTCCACAGGGCCAGCCGCTGCTCAACTCGATGCTGCCGGCAGGAGTTGTGGTGGGCATGCGGCACCAGTCGCCATCGCAGCAGCAGCAGCAGAAGAACGTGTCCGCCAATCCGCTGAGTCGAGTGGTAATCAACTCCCACATGGGTGGTGTGAGGCCGCAGAGTCCATCGGTGAGTGTTCCCATGTCATGGCATGCCCTCTGAGTGGTGCAATGTTGTTGTGGTGGGTTCTTCTCTACTAATCCACACGTCCATACATCCCACAAAAATCCGAAAAACCCTCGAAACATGTGCACCACCAATCCATATACTTTGGCTCCCCACATCCACATACACACACACCATTTGTCCAACCGATGAAAACCAAATTCGAATCTCTTTCTCTCTCTCTGTTCTCTATTCTATCTTTTAGATAACTTTAAGCACACTTAATACAGGACAGACCCCAGCGTTGTTGGTGAAAACGGATAATGGATTCCAACTGTTGCGCGTGGGCACGGCCACGACGACGGGCCCGCCAACGGTGACACAGACCATGACCAATGCGAGCAATAACACCAACAGCCACCACACAACAAGCACCACAAACCATCCCACAACAACACAGATACGACTACAAACTGTGCCGGCTGCAGCTGTAAGTAGATATCATGGGCAACAACCATCCCAACAGCAGCAACAACAGCAGCAGCAGCAGCAACTTCAGTCGCAACAACAGCAACAGCAAGCATCCAGCACTACTGCCAGCGTTAGCATAGCACTGCGCAAAACGATTGTCCGTACATCATCCACAATCCCATCCAGCAATAGCAACAATAACCATATAATTAATGCCTCCACCACCACCACCAACACCACCACCACTACTACTACCAACAACAACAACAGCAACAGCAAACCCGCTACTAACCAGCAGCTACAGCAGCAACAGCAGAAGCTCCAGCAGCAGCAGCAGCAACTGAAGGCTCAGCAGCAACAGAA